GGTGCCAATCCTTAATGGGGAGCGGGGGAGCAGTCCTTAAAGCGGAACTTCCCCTTTTGGGTGGAGCTCCGCTTTAAGGCTCCATGCACCTAGTGTTTTGGTTTTTTTTTTAAGTTCAAAAAATGGTGGGGAAAAACGCTAGATAAAAAATGCTGGTAATAGTATTTTTTTAGTAGCGTTTAGGAGCATTCGCGTTTTAGTAACGTTTTTACAGTACATGTAGAGGAAAAAAAAAAAAAAAGCTGTTAGGAGCATTTTAGCAGCGTTTAGGAGTGTTTAGCGTTTTTTTTTTCTGCTGGAAAAACACACCAAAAAGGTCTACAAAAACATTTTTTTTGCTGCTCCTAAAAGCAGGAAGAAATATGCTGATATAGCTTCTAGGAGCCTAAAAGGAAATCTACTGGGTTACAAATGATTAAATCTTAGGTGGTGTATGCTACCTCCCGCATCACTGCCTGTGTTTTACAAATTACACTTTTATTGAGTGCTGTGTATAACTTTTGCTATATTTCCAACGATCAGACAGCAGACTTGCGACTCTCCTACACACAAGCTGCCCTGTTCGCCCCTCATCTCCTGATGATTTCACTTTAACACTGTAATAATGTTTCCTGAATGGCTTTAGAACATTACTTTTTTTCAGTTTTTCTTTAATATTCGAAATGTGCAGAACTGATTTTAATGTCCTCTTAATACTTCTTGTTTTTGCTCCCAGGTGAACATGGTGATGGATCTGGATGGTAGTGACTTGGTGGCTGAAAAAGCAGATAGGAGAGAGTTTGTGGGCCTGTTGAAGAAAATGTTGATGGTTGACGCAGATGCAAGAATCAGCCCAGCGGAATCCCTAAACCACTCCTTTGTTACCATGAAACACCTCCTTGATTTCCCCCACAGCAACCAGTAAGTCCTCAGCGCCTGCTAAGTGTTTCTCCCCGGCCGCCACTTAGTTTCAGAATAGGCCCTCATTGCCGGAACAATCCCTTTTCTGTAATAAAGGACACTGAAATGCCACAGCTGGCCAACAGCACGCCTTGTGTAATGCTAATGAGATTTTTCTATAAACTTCTAATCTTCCATCTTACAGAATTCAAAGTAGCCCTCTCACAGCCTTTTTTCACCAAAGGATTTGTTTTGTGGTTTTTAGAAAGAGTGAGAGATTTAAAGGACAGTGAGGTCAGATGTTTAGACGCTTGTCTGGAGTGCACTAAACCTAGCAGAAGTGTGCCGTCAGATCGCTATTGCACGAGGCAGAAGTCTTATATGCTCTGTAAATGTCCATTGAAATTTATTTTCGGGGTAGAAATATTTACAGGTTGGTTCAGCAGACTGTCCAACTTTGAAAGTGGGAGCTATTTAAAGCGACTCTGTACTTAATGCAGACTAAACAAACGGATGCAGAGACTGAATATTGGAGACCATAAGATTTCTTCCATAACTGTGCTGATCAGATCCGCCTGTAACTTTTTCAGGTGGATCTGAATAGCAGCTTTATGGGCAGGCAGATGTCAAGTGTGTAAACGAATGCATGTCCGTTTACATCAACCTGTCCAGAGACATAATGCGGATTTGTTAAGCTCCATTTTTTTTTACTTGATCACAAGATGAAGGAAAAAACTGAATGGACACAGATGTCACAAAAGTGACACTCGTTCCGTTTTGCTCCAATTCAGTAGAGATCTGTTTGTAGATCCTCTGCTGATGGGAATGGATGCTGCCCGTGTGAAAGGACCTTAAGGGGTCCACACATTCCTTCCCCTTGCTGACGCTATCACAGAGTTAATTAAGCTTTTTCCCCGGCCTTCTTGTGAGAGCACTTGGTTTCAGAGATTGGCCCATCAGTTGCTGTTCATATAAACTGTTTCATCGACTTTAATAAACAGAACTTGTTCACACTAAAAGCTGTGACCTTCGTTCTTCTTCATAGAATATTGCAGGTCACTGCAAAGGTACCTAGAAAACAATTGTTTCCTATGTGTCCTCTTCACACTCCAACTTGAAAAAAGCTGCATTTTTCACAGTGCATCAGATGGCACAACAGGTCACAGCAACGCATTGCTGTGCAGATTTGAAAGGAGTGTACATTTGTACACTCATAAAAAAGTAAATAAACGTAAATCATGCAATTCAAATAGCCAGTCTGCTCTAATATGCTTCATGAACGTAGTGTGAACAGGCTCTGTATGAAATGGAGGCACAAATTTAAATTTGTTGTTACAAGCAGCATCACTTTCAGGGCCTGCTTTATAGCAGTTGTAAAGACTTGAATTTTTTTTCTAAAATGGTAAACATGTTATACATCCTTCGTGCAATGGCATTGAACAGAGCAGACCCAATCCTCCTCTTCTGGGGGTGCCCCTTGAACACTCCCAGATCCTACTCTTCTGTGGCTGCCATCATGTTAAACTGCTTGTTATGGGGTAGACGTGTGGCTACGTTCCCAAGTCAGGCTGCATGCATCCATAGACACATACAGCACAGCTTGGCCCCACCCTAGCTATCTTCTCACAGGATTTAATTACCAACAGCAGGAGCCAATGGCTCCCACTCCTTTAGCAAAGTCTATGAGAGTGGGGAGAGGGAAAAAAGCCGCTACTGATGGACACACCACTGGATCGAAATGGGTAAGTTTTCAGAGGGGTGAGGGGGTGTTACTACTGGGACTTTTTTTTCTTTATCTTAAAGCGGAGTCACTCTGTAAAGAGATAAAAGTCAACAGCTACAAAAACTGTAGCTGCTGACTTTTAAAAAGCAGCCACTCACCTGTCACATGATCCCGCGTTGCCCCGCCACAGCCTGTTTTTCACTGGTCGTCCTCTATTCCAGGCGCCAGCATCTTCAGTGTGGGCATCCGGCTGTGACAGCTTGCGGCTTCACAGCCGGGTGCCCACTGTGCATGCGCGAGTAGCGCAGCGCTTCCTGAATGACCCCGTCGTCTTCTGAGACTTGTCATGTGTCCCACAATACTTCGAGGAGGGAGGGTAAGAGGACAACTTCCGCTTCCAACCGCCTAGGCGATTGCAGCGGAAGTGGGAGAGGGTACCTGTCAAATTTGGGTACCCCCCCGCTCCCCAAAGGTGCCAATCCTTAATGGGGAGCAGGGGACCAATCTTTAAAGTGGAGCTTCCCCTTTTGGATGGAACTCCGCTTTAATGCAGGGAATGTATTAATGTTAAAATGTCTAGCTTTTAGGACCACTTTAACATTGTTGCAGTTTTTAACTCCTTTCCATTGTCTCTACGCATATATGTGGCAGCACAGAGTGGGCCTTATTCTCTGTTGTCACATATATGCTTCACTGTTTTGTGTTGGGAATGAGCTCAGTTGTGCGCTCTCAGCACCCTGACCACATTATCACTGACGGCTCCTAGTCACAGAGTGATCATCAAGAGTCCGTAGCACAGGCTCCTGATCTTGTGATCACTTTGACAGCCAATTTGAAATAATTTCCCTCAGAAAGCTAAACATGCACTCTTGTTTCTGGGTCTTACTATAGTTACAAACAAATACTGCACACATTTGTGGGGTATCCATGCATGTCAGTAGGAGTAGGAAAATTTATTTTGTTATTATTTTGGAGTGACTTAGCAGCTAAAGTGGTTGTAAAGTCTTACAGATAAAAAATTTCCTTTGCAAGTTAATGTCATAATGTGCTAGTATGCACCGCATACTAGCACATTATTAAAGCCCTTCAGTGGAGTGCTGTTACTGCTGCGGGGGCTTCCATCTTCACCCGGTCTTCTTTCTAGGTTTGCGGGCTCCAGACGTTAAAGGATGAGCTGCGATTACATCATTCTCACACATGTGCGCAGGAGCTACAATCACATACTGAGTGCCGTTCCTTCAGAGCCTGAGTGCTCATGTGTGAGTGATGTCTCCTGCTACGTCTGCGGGCTCCAGCCGTTTGTGGCTGAGCTGCGATGACATAATTCTCACGCATGTTCCAGAGCCACGATCGTGGCGCAGCACTCTGAAGGGATGGCATACTGAATATGCCGTCCCTTCAGAGCCTGAGTGCTCATGCGTGAGTGATGTCTCCTGCTGCTGAAATAGTGAATATCTCCTAAACGGTGCACATTTAGGAGGTATTATTTGTACCTAAGCTTTATCATAAGCTTACCTGTAGGTACTAGTGATCGAATGTTGTTTACTACCGCTTTAAAAGGTTATGTACAGTTTTCATAACACATGGTAGCAAAACTGGGTTCATGTTTAAGGCTAGGTTCACATCTGTGCAAGTGGTGTCGCTGCGGATCCACACAAGTATCCGTGCAGCCGCACCACCCACACGGAGAAATGCGGACCCGCGGGCTGGTGCCTTTAATTCTAATGGCACGCTGCTCACACTGGAAAACGCAGCCGTACTGGGAACCAAGCTTCCCGTGCGGGCTACGTTTTTGGAAGAAGTGCAGGGAGTTCTTCCCTGCGTGTCACGGGCACGGGAGCCCACTTAAATGAATGGGCTTTTGTGCCCATGCAAAACGCGGCCCGCACGGCCGCATGTATGTGAACTGAGGCTTAGGGTTTATTTGACCTGTAAGTTAAAGGAAAAAAGAAAGGCTGTGGATTAAAATAGTGACATTTCTTGAGCATAGAGTTATAGGGGTATTTAGGTTTAAAAGAGTGACATTAGGAGCTTAAGGTATGGTCGATGAGCAGTCTTCCTGAGTGATAAATTCTGTGTTGAAGTTGCCAGAATGTGTTCCTTTGCTTTGTCAATGTTCGTTATCCTGTCTACTGTGGATTCCTTGCCTCATTTTCACATTACTGAAAAGAAAGCCTGTATTTACAGAACATGCCAACTGGAACACATTCAGCGGACTGAACGTGGAAAATATGACCGCGGTGAAATATTTACAAAAGCACTGAAGCACAGTAGCATTCTTAAATAGGTCAAAGCCCCACTATAGATTAAACCGACAAGACAGATGGTGTCATAGAGGTTTATCCCTTTTGCTGCTGTTTAGGACAGAGGAAGGAAAAGGGTTATGAAACCCAATGGCTTAATGTAGGAATTGTGTAATATTAGCACATAGCTATATCATACCATCCAGAGAAGAGAATCTCTCATATCAAATGTACTGTGCTGGGGTGACTTAAACCCTGGATGAGTGACTAATGTCTGGGGACATTTACAAGAGTCAGGAGCCTGTCCAGTGTAAATGCCATCTGCAGTTATTTATCACACGTTTGCACTTTAAATCAACCTTTGTTCCATCACATATGGTTGAAGGCTGTCTGGGGCATTTTACATCAGCAACATATCTGTCTGTATCTGCGGCATGTTCAGATGTGCAGAAATGCAGTTGTTTTATGTGCTACTTCTGTGCTATCCCATGTCAAGATTCCTAGACTTTCTTCAGTACTGTGTGAAAACATTATGTGATTGTGCCAAACATGTTTAGTTGAGCTTCTAGGCTTTGAATTCCTGAAACAGACCCCGTCTTTGTCATATAAAGTCAGGCAGCCTCCTTGTGGAATGCTTCAGGCACCACTGCCCTGGTGTTGGAGAGTGTGTTGTATATTGCGGTTTTTCTTCTGTTGATCCCTATGTCACTACAGAGACCTGTAGTATTGTACTGTCAAGTGGGAGAAACCATAGCACCCAACACGAGCAGATCTAACCATCACCCGTAAGTGGTGGATAGCAGATGTGTCTGTATCTCTGCAAGAGAATGAAGATCTAATATACTGCCCAACAGCAAGGTAAGTATTCACCTTATACAGGGTGGTGACTGTTTAATTTTTATATGAAAGTGACAGGGTCTTGGTAAAGTGGAACTACAGTGCGGCATCACAAGCCAAAAGGCTATTTAGTTCATTTTTATTATTCAAAACAAACTCCCTCATCCAGTTATGTCTCCATGCTTTATTTTGTTGAGAAATCACTTTCTCAACAAAAT